GGCCTCACAGGAGACAGTGGGCTTGTGGAAGTGAGGAAGTCCCCAGTCCCACCCCCTGCAGAAAGCTGGAGGTGCCTGGGTGAGAGCCCTTCCGGGGCTCTGTCACACCCACCTCAGAGCAGTCCCCTAGCACTTTCCACAACGTTTCAGGTCACTGACATAACAGAAATGTGTAGGCTTATACCAAAGCTTTTAAGCCCCACAAATGTGGTTGTAATTCCATACCTCTGCATTGTGCTTTTCTCTGCTTGGCAGTATGTCAAAGCTTGTTCTGCATCCCTACATGCAGATCTGGCACACTGCTTTATTTAAGCCACTCGTCTGAGTGTCTGATTTTGTTTATTTCATCCTGTTGTTAAGACCATTGGCACTGGCTGTTGCAGAATGCATTAGAGCATGGCCCACACTCAGTGTTCATACACCACAGTTGCATGTGCAGTTGCTTTCAAATAAGTGACACAGCCACTTCCACTTTCTTTTCCTGGGGTTGTGAGCTGGCTGTCCATCACAGCAGCGTTCTTGGCCTGCCACGCAGGAACAATATACCAAGGCCACGTTCTCATGGTGCACCTGGCACTGAGAAGAGCCAGCTTCACAGGAAGTGTGACTGGGTGGCCCCCTGCCTCTTCCAGGCTTATGCCAGCAAGGAGGTGATTCTGAGCGCAGGCGCCATCAACTCTCCACAGCTGCTCATGCTCTCAGGCATCGGGAATGCAGATGACCTCAAGAAACTGGGGATCCCTGTTGTGTGCCACCTGCCTGGTGAGCCCTCTTCTTCCCTGCTCAATGCAATGGTGTATTGTAATTTATTAGCATGGAGTGGGGAGGTGACGAGAGTCAGAGCTCCTTGGAACTGTTGTATCCTGCCCATGAGCCTGAAAGTCCCCCAGGCCTCTCTGGACACTGGCCTTAGTGTTATTTTCCTTCTCCCTTCCCCTGCCATCCTGTCCCACTTGGAGGAGAGCACCCACTGGCAGGGAGTGCCTGCCCATGAGTCCCACTGGGGAGGTGCAGGTGTGTCAACAAGGCAGCTGTGTGGCAGAGGGGTCCAGGCCTTATGCTTCCATCCGTAGGACTCACCAGTGCCCTGAGCACTGATGAGGCCATGCTCTTCATGTTAAAACCCAACTGTATTTTACAAACTGTCCCTGATGCCCTTGAGCATCTGTCTTTGTCTCTCTTGCCCTCCATTATAGCCCATGCTTCCAGATAGCTGGGACTTTTTGCATTTAGACTTCATCATGTGAAGTCTGTGGAAGTGCTGGTCCATGACAGTGACTTGCCCGGTGTCCCCTGAGCTTGGATGAGCACAAGCAGGGTCTGCTTTCTCCCTCCCCAGGCCAGGGGTGAGGATGCTGCTGGCCATCGACCATCCAGCAACCACTCCCTGAGCAGTGCCTGTGGCAGGCATGAGCCCTGCCCTTATGGAGGGTGCTGCTGAGCAGGGCTGATGAAGGGTACATGCTGGCAGCCCTGGGAGTGCATAAGAAGGACTGGTGGCTTTGGCAGCATCTGAGAGAGGGCCAGACTTGGCTGGGAGTACAGGAATGGTGTCTCTGGGAGGCTGCCTGTAAGCCAAACCCTGGGAATAAGCAGGAGCTGGCCCAGAAGATGAGTGGGTAGGAGAGGATTTTTCAAGACTAGGGGGATATCAAGAAGCTGCCTAATCTCCCTTGGTAGTCATTTTTCCTGACCACTCCCTCCATTTCAGGAGTTGGCCAGAACCTGCAAGACCACCTGGAGATATACGTTCAACAGGCGTGCACCCGCCCCATCACCCTCCATTCAGCACAGAAGCCCTTGAGGAAGGTCTGCGTTGGCCTGGAGTGGCTCTGGAAATTCACAGGTGGGCACACTAGTCAGTGACATTGGTGGCCTTGAGCTAGACACCATGTGGGGTCTGAGGAGCCAGGAAAAAAGGCTCAGAGGGGAGAACTGAGGGTTGGGCCAGAGAGTCAGCATTTTCCTTTTGTATTCTAGCTGCATCTCAGAGCACTGCCTAGGCCAGGAAACAGTACTTAAGTCCTACATGTTCACTCGGCATATCTTTCTCACACGCCTACCACGTGCCGTGCTGGGTGGCGGGAAGAGCCAGTAAGGCAGGGGAGCTGGCACAGGGAGAGGCACAGCTGACGTCCCCCATTTGGCACATAGTTGATACTTAAAGCTGTGGTACTGGGCAAGCCCACGTTGGGGAAAAAGGACAGGTGTGGGCAGGGCTTGGGTGCAGGCACAGGAAGAGAGGCCAGGAAGAGGAGTTGCCCAGGAGAGAGAAGGAAAACGAGGAGCGGCCAGCCGCCTGCCACGCCCTGACTGGCTCTTCTGATCCTCAGGGGACGGAGCCACTGCTCATCTGGAAACGGGTGGGTTCATCCGCAGCCAGCCTGGGGTCCCCCACCCAGACATCCAGTTCCATTTCCTGCCGTCCCAAGTGATTGACCACGGACGGGTCCCCACCCAGCAGGAGGCTTACCAGGTGAGCAGACGGAGCTCGGCCCTGTAGGACGCTTCCTTTCCACCACTCTGTAAGGGAAGCTGTTCTCGTCGTCTTAGGAGGCAGCATTCTCCCCACTGCAGCAGGGCCTTCAGGGTGGCACAGAAGCCTGCCCTCCAGTTGCACAGTGTGTCTGAGTGGGGAGAGGAACGGGAGGGCCAGGGGCATGGCACGTCACTCTGTGCAGTGCATGCCAAGGGGAGATCTGCACCTGCTCAGGGTGGCTGTTCTAGGGCCCAAGCCCCAGAAATGGACAGACATGGCTGAGTTGGCCCTGGGATTGTCACCCTGGAAGTTTTGGATGGAGCAAGGAGTGATTAATTGTAGGGGAAGGGGGTCTTAATCACTTGTGGCAGTGGGTAGGATGCAGGCATGTGCTAAAATGTAGCCCACCCCATAGGAAAGGCGAAATCTCCCTGAGCCACTGGATTGATAGGGTCGACTGAGGTCACTGGGGGCACTGTGAAGGGACTGTCACTGTTTCCTCTGCATTCTAGGCACATGTGGGGACCATGCGGGGTACGAGCGTGGGCTGGCTCAAACTGAGGAGTGCCAACCCCCAGGACCACCCTGTAATCCAACCCAACTACTTGTCAACTGGTAATTCAGCAGCCCCCTTGTCTCCTGGGCCTGGGCGTGAATGAGTGCCTTCACTGGGTTCCTGTTTGTCTCTCAGTCTTACTCCTGAACCACATTTTCTGAGACACGTTACTCTCTGTCTTCCCATTCCATCACTTTAGGCTAAAAACTTGCATATGCTTCTGTGTAGTGTCCTGGGTTACATGAAGCAACCCTGAGACTTCATTTCACACAATAGGAGAGATCTGCAGCTTTCAGGACAGTCTATCAAGAGGTGCAGGGAGATCGGGCTGTGTAGGTGCCAGGTCTGTACACACAGCTCTCATAACATTTCTCTTGCTGTTACTCTGAGTATCCTCTGAAAGCAGATTACATTCCTGGGCCTGCTTTTTGCATTCAGCAAAAATAAGCACTTCCCATCGGGCAGCTTTTGCTCAGTAATAGCTTGCAGGGTGCTCACGGCCACACTGTGGCAGAGGCAGGGTGGGTGTTATCCCTCTCACAGATAAGTCAGACCCCTGATTTAAGCCTGGGTCCGGGGCAGGCTGTGTCTGCCTAGGACGCTCCCTTTGTGTGAGCTACACAGGGCTCTGCTTGGTTTCAGTCTAACCACGCATGGGCAGGTGACAAGCAACCTGGTGGCTCCATCCTCAATGTCCCTGAACTTTCTCCCCACACTACGTCCCTTTGGACAGCTTCCTTAGCCCTCCATGCTTTGAATCTTCCAGTGAGGCCAGGAAGTGAGAGGAGTCATCTCACCTGTTTCTTCTCCTTGACAGAAACCGATATTAAGGACTTCCGTCTGTGTGTGAAGCTGGCCAGAGAAATTTTTGCCCAGGAAGCCCTGGCTCCATTCCGGGGGAAAGAGCTCCAGCCAGGAAGCCACGTGCACTCAGATAAAGAGATAGATGCCTTTGTGCGGGCAAAGGCCGAGAGCGCCTACCACCCCTCAAGCACCTGTAAGATGGGCCAGCCCTCTGATCCCACTGCAGTGGTGGACCCACAGACCAGGGTCCTTGGGGTGGAAAGCCTCAGGGTTGTCGATGCCTCCATCATGCCCAGCATGGTCAGTGGTAATTTGAACGCCCCCACCATCATGATCGCAGAGAAAGCAGCGGACATCATTAAGGGGCAGCCTACACTCTGGGACAGAGATGTCCCTGTCTACAAGCCCAAGACCCTGTCCACCCAGCGTTAAGGCAGTTGCTGCCTGAGGATGACTGAGGGTGCCTCCTGACAAACCAGGAGGGCCAGCACAGCCCTTGCTGCAAATGCTCCATCCTGAAATGTCTAGAACAGTAGGACCCAGGTGGCACCCTAGACAGTGGCTGAGAATTGGGTAATTTCTTAGGGAGACCAGTACTGGTGAGTCAAGTTCCTTTTCTCCAGCGTTTGAGGATGGCCAGCATTCAGGCTGGGACCCCTGCTCCCTGTCTTCTGGAGGGCCTGCAGAAGAGGATGGACCCAGGTACCTGCTGGCTTGAGGAAGTGGTTCTTTCTCAGGCCTCCCTCTGAAGGCAAGCCCCTAAGAGAACAGGGTGCTAGGCATGGACGCTGTGTGCCTGCCAGACCTGCGCTGGGACACCTGGGAAGGGGCATCCTCCATCACAGACTGCAAGCTTTAGCTGACGCCCAAGTCACACAGGAGTTAGCACAGCCTGGGCTGGCATGCAAGTCCCCGGTGTTCCTTTTCAGAGGGGGAAGTTGCCTACTGGAAGAAAAATAGGATTTTCCTTCCTCTTCCACTTCCTGACTTCACTCTCAGAGTGAGGTGGGTCCTGGGGCTCAGCTGGGTTACCCTGAGGGGCTTGTGGCCCACCTCCCCAATGCTGCTTATCAGACACGACCAGCCCTGAAGAGAGGATTTCTGGATCTTGTTCAAAGAGAGAAGAGAATGCTACTTTGGTTTCACTACCAAAAGTTTCATGATTTAGCATTTTAAAAGATTTTCCTGGGCCGGCCCCATGGCGCACTCGGGAGAGTGTGGCACTGGGAGCGCAGCGACGCTCCCGCAGTGGGTTCGGATCCTATATAGGAATGGCCGGTGCGCTCACTGGCTGAGCACGGTGCGGGCGACACCAAGACAAGGGTTGTGATCCCCTTACCGGTCACGAAAAAGACAAAAAAAAAAAAAGATTTCCTGTTACCAGGAAACCCAGAAACCCAAAGCAAATCCCACGTACCACATGACCACTCCATACTGAAGCAGCCAGCCCTTGAGAGGACTCTCTCATACTGGCCTTGGGAGGCCACTCAGCAGCCCACACTGCCCCACAGTAGACAGGGTTGGTTCATTCTTATTCTCCAGGCGTCCATGGGGACAGACCAGGACGGAGCCAAGACTGCTGGAAAAAGCAGTTAAGTATATCTGTGCACCCTGATTCTATAGAAATGCAATTGAGTGAAAGAAAAATAAATTGGCAAAGATTTCAGTTTTGAGAGGAAAAAAAAGATACAAGTAGCATTCACAATAGCTCTTTGAGCCTTAAATTTCTTATAATAATGTAATCCAGTAACATTTTTGAACTGAGATGCCTTATCCAGACTGTTCTTACAAAGTAATGAAAACTAAACGTATTTGGATTGATTTTTCTGACAATATAAAGCCACTGTCTATTGCAGGGAAGAAAAGAATTGTCATATGGAAGCCTGCGGTGCTGGGCCCAGAATATGGAGGGGAGAAAAGCAGGGGATTCCAGGTTTTGCTGGGATCAGAGCGGATGGAGGTGGCTTGCAGACCCTGGAGGACCAGCAGCCGCACTTAGGCGTCTGAGAAAAACCTACCAGAAAGGCGGGAAGGAGAAAAACATTACACAGCTCCTTCTTTTTAAGATTTTAAGCAGCTCTTGTTTAATCTTACCTGTACCTTTATTTTCTGTCCCAAGGGAGGGACAAGAAAGAAAATTCTAAGTCCTCCAAGAGAGAGAGGGTCCCCTACCTGCCCCACAGCAGCGGCCCATGGCCATCAGTCCTCTGGGTCTTGGAGCTGCCTATAGAGGCACCGGAGCAGCAGGGAAGTTTGGTGCCAACCCCCACTAGGAGGTAGAAATAAAAAGTTGGGTGCACGTGTGGGGTGGGGGTGTGGGGAAGGTGACCGTGACTGTGCTGATGCCCCTACTCTGGTGTGGATGTGGACTTGACAGGTGACAGTCATTTGGCTCCACCATCTCTGTTCCATGGTGTCTCCACCGCTGAGACAATGGAGGATGCAGTCGGGTGGCTGTACTCAAAGACAAGCGCGATGAGGTGTGGGAAGAGGAGGCCAGCTGCGCACAGCGTTCAGTCGCCTCTCCCGCTCTCACATACTGAGGTGTGTGGTCCACACCGTCGCATGACTTAGCCATACACAGAAATGAGTTTCCAAAGGCAAAGACAGTGTCATGTGTCCAGAACCCACAGAAGTTGAAGTGGCAAACCGCTGTTGGGGTACAGACACTGAACAGAACATCCTGACACGCAGAAGGTCCTCACATGAGCCCGGGTGGGTGGATGTGGCTGCTCCTGACCAATCTACAGGAGGGTCCCGCCCACAGCACAGGCAGCAGTGGCCAATGTGGTAACCACAGTCCCATGTGAAGGTCTCACTGCCATGAGGGGAGCCTTTCATCCCATAAAGAGGGCTGTCGTCCTCATAGGGAGGATGAGCTACAAAGTGGATCATGGGGGTCCTGCGAGCTTTGGTTTCATGGGGAACAGGCAGACTTTGTTAACAACCCCTTGGCAGAAAGCTGAGCACATGCCCAGTGACCAGAGCCCTGACCCATTGAAGAAGCCTGTATTTAAGCTACTGTGTCAGCAGGTCATTCCTGACAGTAAGGAACAGAATATGCAGGGGGACAGGAGCAGGCTGTGTGGGGGCCCAGCACATCGCCCCAGCATGAGCGGAAATAGTAAGTCCTAGAAGCGGGAGCTGCAGGTGCCTGGACACCCAGCCCCCCTGCATCCAGTGCAGGCTGCAGCAGTGACAGCTTCCATCAGCTCGAGGAGATTCTTCTCTCCAGCCAAACCTTGTCCGTCAGCCCAAAAATTACTTTGCCACTGATAAACTAACTTCACATCAGATCTAATACATAGGTTTTTTTCTTCCTCTTAAAAATCACCCTCTCCCCCGGCAGGAATAGCTGAGGTGGCCCAGGCCGTCCCCAACACTCCTATTTTGATGGTGGAAGCCAAGGCCCAGGCCTGCTCCTCATTCTCTGCTGTCCACGCTCCCCCCATCCCCAGTAGAGGATGAGGAGGAGAGAGACCATTTAGAGAAATAAAACTTTTTCAACAAACAAATGTGTAGCTGATTGGTTTTTTTAAGCTGGAGTAGGTTAGTCGGTAGCTGGGGTTCTGTGCGTGGCTTCAGCTTGACCACTAACT